GATAGAAAATTAGATAAGAATGGTGAAGTGTACAAGTATGTATTCGTATGCCGGCATGCAGGAAAATTTCATTCAAACAAAACAGCTACTGATCCTTCACAACAGCGTAACAGAGAATCAATTAAAACAGATTGCACTTGTTTTATTAACATGTGTTGGCCGCTTAAATCATCAAACCCAACTATTACAAAGATAAATCTTGAACATCACGGTCACATGCTTGGTCCTGAAACAATTCATTTTGCTAATGTATATCAGCAGCTTCCTCAAAATGTAATGGATAGAATTCAATTTTATATGAATACAATTCATGATATTAGTCAGCACACGTTAAGACAGCTTCTCAGTGTTGAATTTAAAGAGCAACTATTTTAGGATAGAGATTTGGCGAATGCTATCCAACAGTTTAGAAAGGATAATATAGTAAATTCGGATCAAGATCCTGAAAATGATGCGTCAAATCTTCTTAAAGAATTACAAAAAATGAAAGAAGATGATCCCACATGGTTTATATCTTATAATTGCGTTAAAAATCGTCTCTTTCATATATTTTGGATGATGCCCCATCAGCAAAATTTATATCTAAAGTATCACAATGTTATTCTAACGGATAATACGGCATGAACCAACAAATATCGCATGGCACTATGTCTATTTGTTGCTGTTGATCAATATCGCCGTTCAAGATTAGTAGCTCAAGCCCTAATGTCTGATGAAACAACTTCCTCATATATCTGGGTTCTTAAGAACCTTTTATCAGCTACAAATAATTTATTGCCTATAATGATTTATTCTGACTGTGATACTAGATTGGGGCCAGCAATTGAATCTACCCTTCCAACTACATGATACCTACACTACATTTTTCACATAGTTCAAAATATTAAAAAACACTTGATACGTCCACTCAGTTCTCAATTTTCTATGTTTCAAAACGATTTTTTTATTTGTCATAATACTTTATTTGAAGAGATTTTTGAATCATGATTTAGTTCACTCTGTGTAAAATTTCCAGAAACCTCATCATATTTGAGAAATACATTATACCTGATTAAAGAAAAATGGGCCAAATGTTATACTTTTTAGGTAATTAAATTACGAATGTGTTAATTTAAAATTAGATTTAGAACACAAATGACATGCAGATTTTTTTTTTTTTTTAGGAATTTAATGCTGGAATGTCTTCAACGCAACGAGTAGAGTCCATTAATGCCGTTATACATAAATATGTCAACTCTCATTCAACATTAATGGAATGCCTTAATGGAATACAAAGCATGTTATCATCTGAACTTCAAAAAGCTGAATATTGAGACTATCTGGAAAATTTACCTTTTACCATTAGGTCTTCGTCGGCAATTCGCATTTTTCCGGATATAATTGAGCTTTTAAAATCTTCTTTAATAGATGAAATATTTAGAATCCAAAAAGCTCAAGTAGATATCTGTTTTGAATATTTTTCTAGATTGATTCCTTCTAATCAATATGAAACTTGTGATGAAGTAAGGATTTATTATTCTATATGAATAGGCGAATAATTGTTATATCATTAATGTTTACACTTTTTTTAAAGGTTAACGATTCTGATATTTCTAATTGTCTTGAAGACTCTACTGATAAATGTCAGATTGCACTTAATTCTGTCATTAATCGCGTTGGTCTTATAAATATTCTAGAAATTTGGAAAGTCAAAAACATGGCAGCAAATACGACGTCGTTTAACTACGTAGCATTACTTAAAGATAATTCGCATGTTTGCACATGCTTACTTTTGATTAGTGATGGGTTGGTTTGCCATCACTTCTTTCAAGTGATGTTGCAAACAAAGACTGCAAAGTTTAGTCTTGATCTGATTAAAAGCCGATGGTATAAGAGAAATGTTGATATAGATAAGATTAACATTGTATATGATTCTGTTAGGATTCAGGATAGTGCTACTAATAGACGGGCTGAGAATTTAGCTTTAAAGTCTATAAGTAATATTCAGAATCTGAATCAAGATTATTCAATTTAAATTCTGAAATTGAAAATTCAATTACAACACAGCAAATTTATGGTAAATGCGCTGCCTTGGGATGTAAATTGGCATTACTAGCTTCTGAATTTCGTTTAACGCATATTGCTGCTACCTTACAGGGCTTGATTCAACAAATAGAAAATGCACAAATAGAAAATGCAATTTCGAATAATACAAGCCAAGATTAAAACATTATTTGTAATCCATTACAGGCTAGCACAAGGGGAAGACGTGCTAAACGGTTAAAAGCATCTGTGGAAAATATTTCAAAAAGTACAAAAAACAAGATGACTAGTGTTAATGTTTGCTCTGGAGACAGATATACATGTCGCAATTGTCTTAAGGAGGTTTACAATGCAAGAAGTTGCAATGCTCCATGTATAATTTGTAAAAAAACTAGTCATACTTATTTGCACTGTAAGAATAGAGAAGATGCTTAGCTTGTTTGTTAAGTTTATTGCAATTGCATAATGATAATTAATTGTTAAATATTGCTAGTTAAATTCATTTGATGATTTTTTCTTATGTTAATTATAACTAGTATTTACTAACAACTTTTTTTAAGTTAAGAATAGCATTAACACAGTTGCTTTTCGTGCTAGACAACTAGGACATATCATCGGTAAACTAGAAGATGTATTGTATAAATCTGTAAGTATACAATTTTTTATATGCGTATGAACTAAGAAAATTTATAAACGTATTTTAGGTGATTTTTCTAATAGTTAGGATTAGGGTGAGTGCTGATAATATCATTTTTTTCTATATAGTTAGGTTTAGGGTGAGTGCTGATAATGTCATTTTTTCATGTTAAAGTTAGTAGGCTCTATAGATAAGAATTTTTTTTATGAATATAAGCTATCTTATTCTACCATACTGATATAAATTTTAACCATCGCTACGTATACATATTTTAGTTCTAAATTAATCGTAGAATCGAATGTATAATAAGTATACATATAGTATATGCAGGAATATATTATGTTACATCTAGTACTATAGTTGAGCTATTGATTTGAGTATTTTTATATATTGAAATAAATATACAGCTTAATTGGGTGTATCACATAAAAGTGTAATCGGTTCATATTCAAGACAAAAGTTCTTGGTGCTTGTTTATTATAGTAATAGTAATACAACGATAAAATTTAACCCAATTTGGGGATCGCTAAAGCCCTGTACCCACATGACTTTCGAAGTTTTAATTGTAATTAGGGTTAGAGTTGGTTTTATTTTTAGAGTAAGGGCAGGCATATAGGTAAATTTCCTTCCCAGCATTTTTTAGACTGCCGTTTTTCATATTTTTGATTTTTTTGATTTCTTCGGGGGCAGATCCGTGTAAATAAAATCCATGTGGATACAAGGCTTTAGCAGACTCCTTGAGTTATATTCAACTTTATTTAGTCATATCGATATCAGTAAAATTTTATATGTAATAAATTGAATAACTGGTTTAGCATACTGTAAATAGCATGGTCACGTGATCACCGTATATTTTTATTATAGGCTGGTGTTTAACAAAATCAGCCAGGCTGGTAGTTAGAAAAATTCTATTTTAAATTATTTACTAATTACTTAATAATCAGGTAATTTTTTTTAGAGGATATATAGCCGATATTTTTGATTTTCTAATTAATTTACAAATATCATCTTACCAATAATATAAAAATTTTATATGATATTTTACTGTTTAATATTTCATTAGATGATATTTATGTTATATATACCGATATTATATTTATTAAATTTAATTATTTCAAATAAATTCTATTTTGAAAAATAATTAAATGATAATTTATAATTAGCATTCATTATCGCTTTCGCGATTTTTTCTTGGTTTTTTTACTTTTAGCACTTCTTTCTCTCCTCTTATTTTTTTACCCCACCTACTTTTTTTATCTGCACACTCACTCTCATCCTCATCTCCACCTTTACTTTCACTATCGCTTCTCTCACCATCATCATCACTGCCAACACTTTCACTTGGTATATCTTCATCAGATATTGTTGTAACATTAATAGTGAGGCCTTTTGTACCTTTTGAAGGTGATTTTGCTCTTGTTTTTGATGATGTTGCTGCTGTTTTAGTTTGTATTGTTGTTGCTGCTGTCGTTGTTGCTGCTGCTGTTGTTGTTGCTGTTGGTGTTGCTGTTGCTGTTGGTGTTGCTGTTAGTGTTGCTGTTGGTGTTGCTGCTGCTGTTGTTGCAGTTGTAGTTCATGTAGATGATGTTGTTACTATAGTAACATTAAACCATGTAGCAGTAAGATTTCTAATAATAGGTAGTGGTGAAGTATTATCATCCTTCTTTCTTCTTTTATATAATATAATTTTACTATCATCGTCTCTTTTATTTCTATCATTGTCGTCTCTTTCTTTCCTATCATCTTCATCTCTTTCTTTCCTTTTTACTTTCATTACTACTTTTTTCTGCACCCGCACTACCACTTTTTTTCGCTTTTTTTTCTTACATGGATCTTCAACTCCAGTGAAAAAGTTTGCGTCAAATTTTGGATCTGAAATGTTAAATAGGTTTAAAGCTTCTTCTGATAATGCCTATCTTGAGCAATCAGGTGGTGGCATTCCAGTTATATCAACTTGCCCTTTATAATCTGTTTATGCATTCTATTGTTCTTTGGCTGCAGTTGTTTCACAAATAGATCAATATGCTTATGTAATAGCCGTTTTAACTAAATAAGTAAGATGATAGTCTGTTATTATAATATTCATACCAGTATAGTTTAATAAAAAAGATAGATTAAATTAGCCAGCATTATAAAAATGCTGGCTAATTTTATCTCATAATACGATTTTTTACATAGTAAAAATTAAAAACATGTATAAATAATATTTTAAAATTAATCAACATTATTTTTTTTCAGCACCAGTAAAATATTTACTTACATTAGGGCCTCACTACCATTTGTCAATACAAACTAACTTCTTAACCTTCTCACCATCCTTCAACTAATCCTCATCTGTCTTTTACTCCTCATCAGAATGATAGAAATTTCTTCTTTTGCTTCTTGTTAATTTCTTCAGATCATCCTGTAAATATCTCCTAATGCTTTTATTTCCCGCCTTTATTAAATACGCTAATGCTTTTTATCTCCTTTTCCTCTTCTATAATATAGTAATTTAAATTATTATATTTCATTTATAAATTATTTATCTGATAAATCATAAGAGATTACTGATATATTATGTAAATGATTTGTAGGCTAAAAACAAATCATTTATCTAATATATCAGTAATCTCTTACCGATTTATTAGGTAAATGATTTGTTAGTCAAGTAACTCTAGAATTGATTTAAAAAATAGTTTATATGACAAATTTTATTTCGCTTACCTCATTCACCTTACTATTTTTCCCCTTTTTGGCGTGATTGTAGGCCTTTAATTTTGGATCAGCATTTATTGTTGCTGTCTGACACTGTGTCTTTTGATGTTGTTTTAAAATTTTTTTAATTGCACCAGAATGGTGCCGATATCCTGGTAATTTTTTTGTAATAGCCAGAATCAGCTTTTGCCTTATGTCCTGCAATTGGCTAGCCCATTGTTTAGTTGGATCAGGCTTTAGGTCAGATAGCTTACCACCTTCTATTAATACTTTAATTTCGTTCTTTGGTAATAATAATTATAAT